TATTTTATTACATTAATATTATCATGAAAAATCTACTGTTTATAATATTTTGTTTGCTCAGTGTGTCTTGAATTTTGATAGTTTGGCTAGTTTCAACCAAGTGGTAGTTGAATTTGCATCCAATAAAACTATGTTTTGGTGCAAGACATCAACAAAGTTTATTAGCCTTTTTATTGTGTTTTCTAACCTTGCACGATTAAGTGGTTAGGTTTTGTTAGCTGCATTTAGCATGGATTATTCCCCTGCTGTTTGTGACCCTATCACGGCCTTTGAAATCATTTTCAGGTCACAACCAGTCTAGGATGGCTATTTATCATATAGCGGTAGGCGGTCCTGGGTTTTGGAGAAATGATGGTGAAGATACTATGTTTGTATTAGTTCTATAAAGTTAAAAAGATAAACAAGATATAATCTATTTTGGTGTACTATGCAGCAGATCACTCCCCGCTGCATTAAATGACAAGACCTTCTCTTTTTTTCTGTCCGCATTCATATTCATGCAACCCGCAGCAAGTTTGAAGCATTAATTGCACCATATTGAGCTATTTATGCATGGCATATTGCCAAATGAAACCGTGTCAAAGGAAGCCATTATGGGATGTGTTATAAGATGATATTGATGGCACTGCAGAGTAAATGCCGCTAAGCTGTGAATTTGGGCTATTCGTATTCAGATCTGAGCCCTGGTTGCTTTGTGCAATGCATTCTTAATGCACCACCGTTATTGACAGACAAGTATTTAGATGAGCAATTTCATCTTGGCATCTATTTGCTATGCGCATAGCAGCCAATAAGGCCTACATGGAGTTGGGTAGACCTATATCATCACTAGATGGCAGTGTTGCACCATGTATTAAGAACTGTGAGTGGATGATTTAGGCTCTTTATAAGTACTTAGTGTGGTTATTAATATATAAAAGCATTTTAACTTTATTTACATATGTTGATTTTTATTTGCAGGTTTTAAAGACACATTTTAATAGCCTACCTGTATGTTTACTGTACCTTGCTGTATTTTAATCTCTAATAAGTTGCCTTTTTGCACTTTTTTTTGATCAATATTTGATTCTGTTTTTCTCTTTATTCAGATCCACACTTGACGCTAAGACCAATACGACTGCAACTGGCAGACTTAACCTCTTATATCAGAACTTCTGGTTCTCAGATCTGATCAGCAATAGCATCAACAAAACTCGTATGTTAATTAGAAAGAACGTGTTTTCCTTACTTACCCACTGATCCTTCCAGTGACATCAAACTATGGCAAACCCAGAACCATTGATTAATCATTGCATGCAATTTGTGTGCGTGTATGTATGGAAAGGCCAGAGAAAGAAGCTTTCCCTGTAGACCGATATGCTGTGTGTGAAGATGCACATGAATGTTGAACCTGCAGAGGACTTTTACAGGAAGTGGTAAGCACACGGAAATAGTACATTTCTGCACTGCCTTCTGCAAACACCTTCTTTTCAACTATGAGATATCGCATACAATTAAATACTAATTAATCAAAATTGAAAAGCAACCTTTGTATTTTCTATCAAATATTTCTGGATTCAATTTATTTTTTTTATATAGTATGTGTAGTTTTTATGTGTTGTGTTAAGTACTTTTTAGATAATATTAATAATCCTTTTTATTTTTTTGAAATGCAAAGCTTTGCTGTGTTCCCTGTCAGAGGATCAGAGATCCTCCAAATATAGAGGTAAAATTGAGGTGAACCAGTTTTTGTTTTTTTTAACAAATCAATATAGACTACCATTCAAAAGTTTGGGGTCAGAATTTTTTTATAAAATAATTTCATTCATCAATGATCCATTCAATTTATAGGTAAGTGAGACTAAATGCAATTATAATGTTACAAAAAAATTGCATCAAATAAATGCTGATCTTTTGAACTTTGTATTCATTGAAGAATCTTTAAAAAGTGTTATGGTTGCCATAAAAATATTAAGCAGCACAGCAGTTTTCAGCATTAATAATAAGAAATGTTTCTTGAGCAGCAAATCGGCATATTAGAATGATTTCTGAAGGATCATGTGACACTGAAACTGGAGTAATGATGCTGAAAATTCAGCTTTGATCACAGGAATAAATTACATTTGGAAATATATCATAATAGAAAATGTTTATTTTAAATTGCAATAGTATTTCACAATATTACTGTTTAACTGTATTTTCAATCAAATAAATGCAGCCTTGGTGAGCATATAAAAGACTTCGACCCCAAGCTTTGAATTGTTGGTAGTTGTAACTTTTAACAAATAAGGCTTGTGAGAAGTTCACAATGTTGATTTCTGATTTAATTATTATTTTAATTTAATTTTCTTCCAGTGAGTAGTAGGTCAATACAGCTCATCACCAGAATTTTTGTTTATCATAGTATATTTTTTTTACCCTGTTGTTATATAATAGAATTTGAAACAATTAAATGAATAAATAGTGATACAGGAGAATATAATTACGATTTATTTTTTCATCAGATCTCTTTGAGGTGTAGCAACTCAGATGACCACATGGAAAAGGAGCGAAAGGCTTGCATGGCTAGGAATCTCATTACCTCACCTCTGACTGCAAGACCTTTGCAGAAAAAGAAGCAGAGTGAGTTAAAAATGTTGCATGCTGCAACACGAGCAAGATACTTTATCATTAAATCTGCACATTCTGAATTGGTTTTACTGGTGGGTGCTGCAGTCCTCTTGAGCTTCGCATAATGCTTTATTCACCATGTGCTTCGCCGTGCTTGATCTAAATGGGGGTGAGATGTACAGTAATGTTCATTCCATTGTTCCTCTGGACTCATGGGAGTGCATTGTCAATGAACAGAAACCACAAGTGATCGAATGTGTTAACTGTCTATTTCCCCTCCTTCAGTCTGTCTTCACTGTGGGGTGTGTTTTGTTCATCTCTCTTTTATCGTAAATCTCTGCTGTAACAGCTCTGGGGATATCTTTTCACACAGCATTTATCTGGGCAGGAAGTTTCATGGTTACAATATTGACGCAGCCAACTTGTGTGTACTGATAATAGCAATTATAGCCTTTCTGTGGCTCAAAACCCATGTGGATTGTCTTTTTCCCAGACTTTATGACAGTGTGTAAGGACCTGTTTCTAATGGCTAGCCTAACTTTTTAGTCTTGTTCTGCGCTATAATAAAAGGCTAAAATTTAGAAAAAAACTTTATGCTTGTTTTATTAGCCAAATTATAAGTTTGTAATGCTGCCTTGTTTGCAGGCTTTGACAGAAACAGAAAACCTCATTTAATCAACAGTTGTTAGAAAGTATTCATGGAAATGGTGCAAACAAATGCTTTGTGCCATTTAGGAATATTATAGACTGGAGACAGATTGCTGTAGAAGGCTGGTGAATTTGAAGTATTATATACAGTTCATGAAATTAAGCATAGACCATTTATCTTGTTTCAAATGTTTATTTTGTCATCATTTGTTATATCCAGCAAAGTAATCCAAAAGATTGAAGGGCGATTCTCAAAAATCTATATTTTCTGCAAGCTTTTTTCAAGATAAATTTAAATGTCTTTCCAAAAAAGGACTCCAAAAGGAAACTCCAAAAGACCAAATGGAGCCCATTTAAGCACATATGAAAGAAAGAAAAAAATGCTAAAAAAAAAATCAGATTGCATAAATACAATGTGCGATCAGTGCGTCAAGAGCATTCATACACGCATTAGCCTATTATAATGAAGTCACTCGTGCTTACTGTATGACTCCTGTACACCACAGCAATCGTCTTTACCTTGATTGCAGTCTTCATCCATCAAAATTTTACTAGCCAGACTGGTTATCCAGTCGAGAAAACATAATTTGCGTCTCATCGGGCCATACAGCGGTGGGATGTGTTGACAATCCGTTCAGTCTGTATTTCACACAGCATGACGTGTGAGGGCTCACGCTCTTCAGAGACAATCACACAGAATATGACAGAGCTCTTTTTTAAAGCCAAACACATTGGAATGAATAATTCACTGAAAACGCAACGCGAGTCTCTGCAATCTCTGATGTATTCAGCCTGGTTTCCTTTATATTAGCGCTGTTTTGGATGGATTGTTTGGATGCATTCGCTTACTGGATCATTGGACTGAAAACTTTCCCGGAGTTAAGCAGCTTAAAATGATCTGATCGCAAGCAGAGAAGCAAAATTGGGTTAAAGGGTTAGAATATAAATTGTTCTTCAGTAATTTTGCGTTAATTGCGTTAAATTATTTTAACACGTTAAGGATTGTAAAATGAATAGCATGCGTTAATGCATTAACGTTGACAGCCCTAATTTTTTTTATTCTGATGAAAACCAAACCCACATAATTTGCATAATTTACCATCACAAGCTCATGTTTCAGAAATGTTGCATAATAGTATTCTTGTATGTTGCATAAATGTATTCTGCATTCTTGTTTATTTGCACAATTGCAACAACTGTTATATCGGTGTTACAATGTATATACATATTATTTGTATGACTTTACATAGTGTAATTTGTTGTGTGCTCAGAAATCAAACACAGATTGTTTAACTATTTCATGAAGATTGCATGCTCTCAGAAATGATATTGCGATTTAATACTATTCATTCATGCCTCGAGGGAGAAAATGGATCATTTTATGTATATAAATAGGTCATGTCCCCAGTTCCAGGATCCAAACTTGGCAGTGCTCTGATTGGTTTTGAGATTGGGATAATAGGTATTTAAAAGGCTGCATAGGATAGACTGTATAATTCTTGATTCTCATGAAGGTAAGCAGCATTAAAACGTTTATTTTCATGTGGCATGAGAAATATAATTTGTAGTTTTTCAAAGGAATATATATACATATATTGATATTACATAAATAGTATAATCATATATATGATTTTATAATGATTATGATTATTTTTATTTAGTGGATGATGCTATTTATGTATGCTGCATTTTTTTTTAATTGAATGCATGTTGAAAGTTACTGGTGCTTTATCAGTTTGACTAACATTCGTTTGCAGCTAATCATGGGAGCGAAACTTTTACCAGTTTGTTTTGTGATATTTCTGTTTTGGGGTAAGGCTTTTTATCTTTTGGATTATTATTTTATGAAACTACATTTTTTTTATATAAAAATAGATGTTATTTAAACTAATTTATTGACATTAATTATGAAATTATTAATTAAATTATTCAAATTATGAATGTATTAATTATGAAAATTAATCATTTGAAATTATTAAAAAAATATTAAATCATTATTATTATTTTACAAGTTAAATTATAAAGATTGGATGCACTGCCATGTAATGCCAACTTTTTTCCAAACAAGATTTTTGTTGTTGTTGTTGCATTAATTCTCTCAAGTCTTTCTCTCTTGACCTCTTAAAGATGGTGGCCAGGCTCGATCTGCAGGACGAGAGTTTGCCACCGCGTTCATGCAGAACTATGTATCTCCTTTTGACCTGCCGCTCTTTCAGCTTTACATTACCTCTCTGAATTCTAATTGCCTGGTGAAGATCAGTGTGCCCAGTCTCAATTTTAACCAGGAGGTGCAACTGACTGCAGGTCAGGGCTTCACTGTGACCCTCCCCAAAACAATTGAGCTGTCTGGCACTAGGAGGTCCCGCAAAACTGTCTTCATTCAGGCATCTGATTACATAACGGTTTCCTCGCTAAACTCAAAGCAGTTCACAGCGGATACGTCCCTGGTCTACCCCATGAGCGAATGGGGTACTGAATATTTTGTGTTCACCCCCACCAACTCCCCTCCATCCATGCTGAAGGAGTTTGTGCTTGTCAACGGTAAAGAGCGGAACTCAGTGGAAGTGTTCCTTAGAGCGGCGGTCCGGTTCGAAGGGCGCTTGTACGGTGTCGGCAGTAAACTAGTTGTGGTGATGGATCCTTTTGAAAATGCACAAATTCAAAGCCAAGGAGATCTTACGGGAACACGCATATCTTCACAACTTCCCGTCGCCGTGTACTCGGGTCACATGTGCACGTGGCGCTTTTCTAAGTGCAATCACGTTTATGAGCAACTGCTGCCAGTGCAAAGCTGGGGAACTCAATTCCTGGTGGCTCCATTTAGCATTCAGAGCCAGTTTGACAGCATCTATATCCAAGTGTCACAGACAACGAATATAACCCTTCAATTTGGCCATACTACATTAACTGGCGTTCTTCAGCGTGGGCTCATCCAAGAGCACAAAATCCAGTTTCCAAATGGTCTCAACATCGTTGCTGACAATGGAATCCAGGTGTTTTTTCTGTTTAATGGTGTGCGAACATCCCGTGGTGTCCTATATGACCCGTTTCTTATGAATCTTCTGCCCAACGACCGGTTTTGTTCTTCGTACGCGCTTGATGGGATAGCTGGCTTTGACAGCCGAGCCCTTCTGATTGTTCCTACCAAAGAACAAGCAGGGATTCGTTTTGATAGCTTGCCTTTACTTGGAAACCTTCAGTGGAGGGTCATCAAAAACAGCGAGTACTCTTGGACTGAGCTGGTTTACCAACCTGGGGCAGGTGGGCACAAATTAACCCATCCAAATGCTTCTTTTGGGGTCTATAGTGTGGGACTACAGCAAGTGAATGGGTACGGAGCCCCAGCTGCATGCATTGATCCAGGTTTGCCAATTAAACATTCTTCCTTCTGTTTTAAAACATTTATGTTGATACAACCAGTTTGAAGATAAGAAAATCCCTAGTATAATCCAATAATGCATTTTTAAATGAGTAAGACATTAGTCTTAATTACAGTGGAAGAATTAAATGTTCAGATTTTGGTAATATCTTAATTGACTCTATTTATGTTTATGCTGCTTAAATGTAATGTATATCTTCTCCATTTGTAATAGAATTGCCAGCACCTCGCTCTTGCTTCAACATCATCTGTAGTGAGGATGAGGAGTGCCAGATGATGGATTCCTTCCCCATCTGTGTGAAGAAACCATTTGGAATCTGTTGGGCAATGGGTGACCCTCACTACAGCACATTTGACCAGCATTATTTTGACTTCATGGGCACTTGCACTTATGTTGTCACCAGGAACTGCCAGCAATATGATAGTCTTCCTGCTTTTGAGGTCCTGGCTAAAAATGAAAACCGTGGTGACATTAGTGTCTCCTATGTGGCACGTGTAACTGTGAATATTGGGGATATCACCATCAGCGTTGAAAGTTCTGAGCCTGGAAAAGTCAGGGTAAACCTTTTTTTATTTTTTTCCAAAAAGAAAAAGTATTAGTAATTGCATTGGATTTAGTTCATTTTAATACTAAACATTTTAGAAACCTCATTCAAAACCTGCTGCAATATTGAAAGCATTATCTCACATGAGAATACAATATAATAAAAAGATAATAGCTTTATATTAAGCACTTTCTTATAATAAATTATCAGTATTTTTGTCTTATTTTTAGTAAAGATATCTAAACATCTTTATAATGATCAGTTTACTCAAGAATCAGAAACGCATAACAGACCAAGAGTTGTTCTCAGAAGCTACAACTTAAAGTTTATTTCTTACCCATTAAAAATAGTGTAGATCAGCATAGATAAAAATCAGTGAGGTTTATGCTTAAAACAAGAAAAAGAAATGTATTGTTATTATAATATAATGTTATAATAAAGTATTATTATTCAATCTTTTAAATAAGTAAAAGCGGCTTTTGAAATGGGAATTTGAAAAATAAAAAAATTTAACTAAATCAAGATAAAAAAATATTTAGTAAGAAGCTATTTTGCCATTTAATATGCATTATTATGTTTTGATTTGTGCAGATTGACCAGAGTTTGTGGAGTCTTCCTGTGGTTCTTGATGATGTTGGGGTGTCCATGTTCCAGTCTGGCAGCTTCATCACCATCCTGTTTTCTTTTGGGCTGAGTGTGAAATATGACTGGAACCACTATCTCATGGTCTCCCTGCCCACTGCCTTCATGAACAAAGTCTGTGGGCTCTGTGGAAACTTCAATGGCGATCCCAATGATGATTTCACCATGCCTTCGAACACCCTTGCTCCCAGTGCGACAACGTTTGGCCAGAGTTGGAAAGTTCACAATTTAACATGGGATGAGGGCTGTAGAGATGATGGTGGGGGACATGGATGTGATGCTGAAGCACAGAGGCAATGGCTGGGTGAAAAATACTGTGGACTCCTAATGATGGCTCCATTCAGTCAGTGTCATTCTGTTATTGACCCAAGTATTTACATTCAGAACTGCATGTATGATGTCTGTATGACAGATGGGCACAGAAACTACTTATGTAAGGTCTTAGAGGTCTATGCAAGTGTATGTCAACTTGTTGGAATACAGCTAACCAACTGGAGAGAAGCAGCCAATTGTTGTGAGTAATAGCATTTGCAAAGCATACTTGACTTGATATTGTTTTGCAATATGTCTTAATGTCTTTGTATGTGTCTTCAGCTTACAAATGCCCAGAGAACAGCCATTATGAATTTTGTGGTGGCGCATGCCCTTTGACCTGCATGGGCCTCGGGTCTCCTGTGAACTGCACTTTACCCTGTGTCGAAACATGCGCTTGTGATCCTGGTTTTGTTCTAAGTGGATCTGAATGTGTACCTTCAACCCAATGTGGCTGTTCCTACAATGGACACTACGTTCCTGCTGGAGATGCTTTCTGGGCAGATGATGCTTGTCAGCGGCTTTGTCATTGCTCCATGGAGGGTGGACATCTGGAATGCCAAGACAAAGGCTGTGGGGAAGGAGAGCACTGCCAGGTGGAGAATGGCATTAGGGACTGTTATCCTGTCTCTCAAAGCACCTGCATGGCACTGGGCGACCCCCACTACTACACCTTTGACGGGAATTATTTTGACTTCCAGGTACTAGATGCACTCGAGAACTGTGCAATTTTTTTCTACATTACATGTTTCATGTTGTATATAACAATCAAAAATGGAGGGGAAAAAATCAGAAAATATGAAAAATCATTGGAATTTTCCCCCATTTTTCACATGGATAAAATAGTAAATAATGTGGAAAATAGGCCATTTTTCTGCCTTTCATTTCATGGTTTCCATACTATAGGTATAAATATTTTTTCTTAGTTTCTTTTAAACCCACATGTAACCACAGATCAGCCATTTATTTTCTGCTTCTGAGTATTTAATGCATAATCAAAGTGTCCTGGAAAGACAAAATAACCTTAGCATGTAGTGTCAACTTTGGAAATTTGGGGTTGCATTAATATGTTTTTTTAATGGTTGTAAAGTTGGCAAAATCAAGAAAAAAGGAAATGTTGCTATTGTTAAGTAAAGCTATTAAAATGGCTTGTTAATTGAATCTAAAATATAAATTTTAGATCGAAAACTATATAAATAACAAAAACTTAAATAAGAAATATTGCTTTGCCAACTAACTGAAATAAAATAAGTGGAAGGGCTGATTTCTAAAAAGAAACTGAAATATAATTTAACACTAAATAAACTAGTTTAAAGCTAAAATAAAACTAATAAAAATGACAAAAGTGTATAACAAAAATTATTAAAGTATAAGCTAAATTTAAACTGAAAATATACAAATAAAAGCTAATAGTATATATTCAAAATATTAATGCATACTATACTATACTGTACTATACTACCTGTATACCATACTAACACTGGTAGGAAATATTTTTATATTATTTATATATATATTTTTTTTTAAATCACCTTTCCTTAGTAAGAGTGTAGGCATAAAAGTCTTTTATGTTTTTGGTTAAATAGCTTTTGTGGAACATAATAGTATTATTACTTATATTCTCCCTTCAGGGCAACTGTGTGTATCAGTTGGTTGGAGTTTGCGCCTCAGATCCTGGATTGGTGCCGTTTGATGTGCTGGTGCAAAATGAGTTTCGGGGAAGCAGAGTGGTGTTGTTCACTAAATTACTGGAGATCAGAGTGTTTAATATCACCATTGTTATCGATAGAGAATACAGCGGTGCTGTTACCGTAAGTTGCATGTTTTAAACCTTTGGCAAGCTTGGTGATGTTACAGTAAGTCATTCAATGAGAAGTTGTAAAAAAGCAAAGTTGGCTTTCTTTTTTAGGTCAATGGTGAGCTGTTCAACCTTCCTCTTCATCTTATTGAAGGTCAGATTTCTGTTTTCAGAAGTGGCTGGTCTGCTGTCGTTCAAACCTCTTTTGGTCTCAGAGTCACGTTTGATTGGAACAGCTTTGCAACCGTCACTGTTCCCAGCACCTACATGGGTGCCATCTGTGGCCTCTGTGGGAACTACAATGGAAATCCAGAAGATGATCTGACAGTCAGAGGAACAGCATTACCTGCTTCAGGACCGATGGAGTTCGGTGCCAGCTGGAGTGTAGCCGAGATCCCAGACTGTGCGCATGGCTGCACAGACAGTTGTCAGGATTGCGACCCGACCAGAAGGAGTCTTTATGAGACGTCTGATTTCTGTGGACTCCTGCGTGACCCACAAGGGCCATTCAGGGACTGTCAAACCATGCTAAACCCTGCTCCATTTTTTGAGGATTGTATTTACGACGTCTGTTTGTATAATGGAAGGAGAGATATACTATGCCAGGCAATAACGGCATATGTATCTGCCTGTCAGGCGATAGGAAGGACCATCAGCCCCTGGAGAACTGCAGAATTCTGTGGTGAGAGAAACCCGGGGTCATTGTATCTAGACCTTTTTGAGAAACCGTATACATGGTAATATTGTGTTCATACACAAGAGATTTTGTAGGTATAGTGATGGACTTTCTAGCGAAGACACTGCAGTTCCAGTTCCATTCATGTCAACAAAGGCCTTAAGAAATGTAAAGCAGAGCACAAAAACAAAGATGCTAAGGATAGAAAGGTGTGTTAGTACATTCAGCATAAGGATATTGAGTTCAAAATCAAACTTGACATGTAATCTAGCCCAGGTGTTTTTTTAACTTTTTGATGCCACGGACTCCCAAATATGAGGATCTTCCTGCAAGTCTCTTATTTCTGAAAATATAAAGGCACCTATATATTTTCCTAAATGAAGTCCAGTTTATACTGTGAAAATGTGTATAATATTTAAGTATATCCTTATGATTTTTTATGTGCATGGTTTTATTATTACAATTTTTTTTTTTATTACAACTACATATTTGTTAGAAGGTTTTTGGTAACACTTTATTTTGATGGTCCCTTTTTGAGCATTCTGTTGACTATAAGTAACTTTGCACCTACATGTCAACTAACTCATTAGAGTATTATTTGATGGCTGCTTAATATCTGCTAACTCTTTGTTGTGATGGTGTCCCAACAGACATTCTACTGACTATAAGTACATGCCAACTTATTCTAACCCTAAACCTACCAGTCTACTAATACTCTACTAACACTCTAATGAGAGGTAATAGTCAACAGAATGTGTTAAAGGGACCATCAAAATAAAGTGAAACCAGGTTTTTTCCCCTTTTTTAATTCTAATTTCTTAATTTTTGACAGTGAGAATACACTATTTTTATCAGTGAGAATATATTACTTACACATTTGTTATTGTTTTTTTTTTTTTTTTTTTTTTTTTTTTTTATTTTTTTTTTTTTTTTTTTTTTTTTTTTTTTTTTTTTATTTTTTTTTTTAGTATGGAAAAATTATTTTTCTTTGAACTTTTCTGCACCACCTTGTGGACTTTTTGGGGTCCCTGAACGTCAGTTTGAAAAACCCTGATCTTTCCCATAAATAAGAACAAGAACTCATCGTCAGAGTGGCATTTCTACTATTATTTAACAAATTAAAGCGACAGTTCACTCAAAAAATTAAAATTCTGTCATTAATTACTCACCCTCATGTCGTTCCAAACCCGTAAGACCTTCGTTCATCTTCAGAACACAAATGAAGATATTTTTGCTGAAATCCGAGAGCTTTCTGACCCTGCATGGACAGCAACACAACTGACCCGTTCAAGGCCCAGAAAGGTAGTAAGGACATCGTTAAAATAGTCCATGTGACATCAGTGGTTCATCCGTAATTTTATGAAGCTACGAGAATACTTTTTGTGTGCAAAGAAAACAAAAATAATTATTTTAATGGACTATTTTAATGATGTCCTTACTACCTCTCTGGGTCTTGAACGTGGCAGCTGCATTGCTGGCTATGCAGGGTCAGAAAGATTTTCATTTTTGGGTGAACTATCCCTTTAATTGATATATTTATTTCTATTTTATCTACTTTTATTTATTTTTTTATTATATATAATCAGAACTTAACCAATCACATGTCTTTGTTTTGTCAGGTGTTCAGTGTCCTGTCCACAGCCACTATGAGCTCTGCGGTTCTAGTTGTGAAGTCACCTGTCACAGTTTGACTCCTCGCGCTGGCTGTCGTAGCCCCTGTATGGAGGGCTGTGTGTGTGACCCAGGCTACATCAGGAGTGGGGAACACTGCGTTCCCCTCTCTCAGTGTGGGTGTCTCTATGGCAATCACTACTACTTGCTTTACCAACAGTTCTATCCTGGCAATAACTGTGAGGAGGTGTGCACATGTTTACCGGACGGCCAGGTATGATGACAGTGAGGATATACTACTGTTTTGGCATTAGTGACTGAATTTCATTTTTTATATGGTTATACAGTGCCTATTAAATATACATATTAAAACGTGAATAAATCAACTCAACAACTTGTTGCCTTCCATTGTCAGTTGTGCTCACTCCTGTTGTGTGTCCTCAATGTGGCAACCGGCGTAAGCATCAAGTCTGATCAATATTTTGAATTTAGACTGCAGTACCCATTTCAACCACTAGCTGTCAATATTACATACTGCACTTTTAAAGCAATATAAAATACATGAAAAATACATTTTTGAAATAATAAGACTTCAGTCTCCCTCTCCAGGTTATAAAGAGTTTGGAATTAAGATTAATCAAACTTAAATTGTAAATAATCAGAGCAACTTGGACCAATGACATACAGTACATGGGTTTTTCTTTAATAGCTTTATTTTTCTGCTAATATTGTCCAGTGGTGTAAATATAATGTAAATCTGTGGAGTTTTTTTTCTTAAATGAAATACATTTTTCTCAAATTATTTATTGGTTAATTTCATTCTGTAGTGGAAATGATGGTTATAGAAGTTACGTTTTTGTAATAAAATGGCCAGCACTTTTGTCTTGCAAAGGCTATTTTCATAGCTGAAATTTTTGTATATTCTAAATACTAAATTAAAAGATTTGTACACTTTTTGTCAAGTTATACTTTTTTTTAATGTGATACATGACAATCACATTTTATATCAATCCTTTTTATTAGCACAGATTTAAAGTATAAAACAATAAATTGTATGCATACAAAATATGCAAGTCCTTAATAAGACATTTAGCATAGCTCTTTTTTCAACAGGTTTTTTTTTTCCATAATTTCTTGTTAGTTGTTGTCTCTTTAGAGCTACGTGGCATGAGCTGTTTTGCCTGTAGCAGAACCTGCTGCATTTGCATTTTTAGATTCTTTCTTTAAAACCACACTACAAATCTTGCCCCATACAAAACATTAATACAATGCTCTTCTTTCCACAGGTGGTCTGTAATAAGTCGTCTTGTGGCCCTTATGAGAGCTGCGAGTTGGTGGACGGCGTTCGCAGATGCCGACCAATTCTGCAGGCTATTTGTGAAGCTTCTGGAGACCCACACTATGTGTCCTTGGATGGGCTGCGCTTTGATTTCCAGGGAACCTGTACCTACATTCTGTCCCAATCCTGTGGCCTGGAACAAACCAACCTGACCCCTTTCTCCATCCAGGTGGAGAATGAGAGATGGTGGCCCAATAAACATCACGAAGTCTCTGTTACCAAGCAAGTGGCCTTAACGGTCTACGGCAGCACCATCATCTTAAGACAAAACAAGCCCCAGATCTTGGTAAGTGCTGGTTTGTCTGCATTTGTTCTTCAGTGAAACTCTCATAATGTGATTTTGAGTTCCTTTAACACATTAAACTAACTGTAAGTATCTAATATGACACCATTCCCACAGGTCAATGGGGTTCTGGCTAATCTCCCATACAGTTCAAACAGTTTAAATGGTTCCTTGGTCCAGGCCTATAAAGATGGTAGTTATATAATCATCGAGACCAGCTTTGGTCTCCGTGTGACCTATGGCCTGTTTTACTACGTCGCTGTTACCATCCCTGGCAACTACCGCAACAAGACCTGCGGACTCTGTGGCAACTTTGACGGAGTCCCTTCAAATGACTTCAGCCTCCCAGATGGCAATGTTACACAGGACGTGAATGTGTTCGGGAGAGCCTGGAAAGTGGACGTCCCTGGAGCCGTGTGTGAGGACGGATGTGAAGGCGACACGTGTCTGGACTGTGATCCTCAACTGAAAGTCATCTTTGAGAAGCCTCCCTACTGCGGAGTTCTGGTTGACCCTAATTGGCCGTTTGCCACCTGTCATGCTGTGCTGAACCCTTCAGCTTATCTGAACGACTGTGTCTTTGATACATGTGCATCTGATGGCAACAACAGCGTGGTTTGCGCTAGTGTGGAAAGATATGCTTTTAGTTGTCGCGCAGCTGGAGTCGTCATTCAAAGATGGAGGACGGACTTTTTCTGCCGTAAGTTTGTTCTTCTGGAGAAGTTTTTTTCTTAATTTTTATGCTTCCTTATTTTATATTAAATAAATATCACAGCAAAACAAAGGGATTATATCCAATACAGCTTAAAAAATTACCAAAATATATTTGAAACAATATAATTGACTGAAATGCACTACTGTTCAAAAATTTGGAGTTGGTAAGAATTAATTTTATTCAGCAACGATCCATTAAACTGAACAAAGGTGAGAGTAAAGACATTTATATTGTTACAAGAAATTATATTCAAAAATGCTGTTCTTTTAAACCTTCAATTCATCAAACAATCCTAAAAAAAGTTGGTAATGATAACAAATGTTTCTTGAGCAGCAAATCAGCATATTAAAATGATTTCTGATGGATCATTTGACACTGAAGACTGGAGTAATGATGCTGAAAATTAAGCTTTGCCATTAGAGGAATAAATTGTATTTTAAAAATGTATAAAAAATAATATATACATTAGTTATTAGATGGATATTTGCATTTAAATAATTCTTCACAATATTACAGTTTTTACTGTATTTTTGATCAAATAAATTAAATAAAAAATGTAATTAAAAAGTCTAAAAAATATCAGGCTAGATACGCAGTCAAGACATTCTTGCTGAAATGAATGTTAACATATACTTTGAACAATATTTTTTACATTTTTATTTTCAGTATATACAAAAATATCTAAAATATTCCTGGAAATATATTCAAAATATAAAAACATCATATAAAAACAATATTTCAGAATTCTTTCCATTTTTATTTACTTTTTTATAAATATTTATTATAAATTCATTTATAAGCTTATATATTTGGTACTATTTTAATTAAGCAAAACAGACAATATTGACAATATTGTGTATAAAATGTAAACTTGTTTACTGAACTATTGTATAAAATCAATATCACATTTGCAATCGTGCAGATTATTTTGGGAAAAAACAGCACTCCTGCTTGTGTGCTATTGCTAAACTATATCAAAAGATTTAAATGTAAGATATCAATGCAACAACAGTGTGGATAGAGATTCTGTTTTATTATACGTTTTCTCCTCCAATCATTGTAATTTTTTTCTTTGTCACTGTATTCCAGCAATGTCGTGTCCAGCTCACAGTCATTATGAGCTGTGCGCAGACGTGTGCTCTGCTGCCTGTCCTGGTTTAACTACGATAGTCCAGTGTCCTAAAACCTGCACAGAGGGCTGCGCTTGTGACAATGGTTATCTGTTTGATGGCCAGCAGTGCGTTGAACACCAGCTGTGTGACTGCTATCAGCAGGGACGCACATATAAGGTGAAGCTTTGAGTGTACTGTGGTGATGTTGTGCACATATTAGCTATAAATGTCTTGCTGGCATTCTTTCCTTTTCTTGTCTTGTTTGTGAATAAGTTTGTGTTTTCAGGCTGGAGAGGAGGTTTACCTGGACCAGTGTGAGCAGAAGTGTCAGTGTGATCCAGGAAAAGGACTTACTTGTGAAAAAGCCAACTGTCCTAACGGCACACAGTGTTTACTTAGAGAGGGAATGTGGGGCTGCTTTTACCCAGGTTGAGATATACAAAAAACAGGAATATTGCAACAAATGGAACAACATCTGTAATTTTTTTATTACATGGCAGATTTTTTTGTTTCTTCTCGTTGCTTCTGTCTACAGATCCATGTTATTACCACCATTGTCCAGAGAAAGAGACATGCTGCTCTGAACATGGCAATGCCGTGTGTTTGCCCCAATACAACAAGACATGCTGGGCATGGGGTGATCCGCACTACCACACCTTTGATGGCTACGAGTATGACTTCCAGGGCACCTGTAAATACATCTTGTCTAGGACCTGTGGGAATCTGTACGGTCTGGAGCCCTTCTCTGTAACCCAGAGCAATGAAAACCGTGGCAACCCTGATGTGTCTTATGTGCGGGAGGTGGAAGTTACTGTATATGGCAGCACTTTTACTATGGTGAAACACCATACAGGACAGATCATGGTAATGAGTCACTGCATGTTTTTACCAGTAGACTCACTCAGGGTCATCTTCACTGTCACAGTATGATTTTTAATTCATTCGAGTTCTAATTCATTCAAGTTCTTGTGCATATTTTAAAAGTAAGAATATTTTTGTTTCATTCCAGAGTTTTGATTTGCTTTTCTGAGTGCTTTTTAACTATGCTGTTTAACACATTTACAGTATGATTTAAATATTTATTTAAGGGGTCATGAACTGCCTTTTTTATTATTTTGTCCTGTTCTCTGAGGTCCTCTTATAATGTTATCAAGATTTTTGTACATCAAAAAACATAATTTAGAAGTAATAGGCTATTTTCTGTCCTGTTTTAACCCCCTCATCAGAACGCTCTGTTTGAAGGCATGGTGGATTGTAAACTCGGAAGTAAACCCCCACTGCTACAGTATGATTGTTTTTACACAACTTGGCACTGCACAGCGCCTTGTTGTATTTGGAGCCATCTTTATCGTTTGGTTTCTGCTTAGACATGCGTTTGCCTCTTTCGTTATTTACACTACGTGTGTGAATCGGTGGGCGGAGCTAAACAGGCAGTGATGTAGTAGCAAGCATTGATCTGCTTCTGCGGAGGTGGTGTTTAGCCACACTATTACATCATAGAGTGGTACATTCCACAAGCTGTCGTTTTGGCAGACCGGCTTCAATATAATCTGTTTTTAGACTAACAGGAAAGTTTTGAGTTCTGAAACTTACAGGATGTTTTTATAGTACAATGACCTCATATGTCAAATATCATTGGAATTTTGGTTTCTCAGTTCATGAGAGATATTAGAATATTTTCCCCACAATAATAAAAACATTGGTAATCATGAATATAAAATTAGACCCTAAAGTAAAGTGTTACCAAAATGTATTTACATTAAAAAGCACTATCATTCTGTGTTTCTTCTGTCAGGTGGATGGTTTGTGGTTTTATCTTCCTTTTGATCATCATGACGGCCGTGTGAAGGTGAGACAGAGTGGCTATGCTGCTCTGCTGGAAACTGACTTTGGTCTGCGCGTCTCTTTCATCTGGGGCTGGAGGGTTGATCTGCATCTGCCCAGTAGTTACTATAGATTTGTGTGTGGCCTGTGTGGAAATTTCAACGGTAATGGTGAAGATGAGCTGAGAGACCCTGCTGGAAACCTTCGGCCAAGTCTGTACCAGTGGGCAAAGAGCTGGAGAGCAGAAGACAGTGTCACATCAGTGTGTCATGATGGCTGTGAGACCGACTGCCCTGTTTGCCCTCCTGACCAACATGCCCTCTACGAAACAGATGCTTTCTGTGGTGTCCTGACATCTATAGGCCAGAATATGTTTAGTGCATGTCATGCTAAAGTGAACCCACAGGCGTTCCAGCAAAGCTGCGTGTACGATCTGTGCTTCAATAACGGAGACCGAAAACTTCACTGTCAGGCTCTGGAGACATACATCCATCAGTGTCGTCAAGAGGGTGTCATCATTACAAATTGGAGAGAAAGATTTAATTGCTGTAAGCTTGCTTAAACCTCTCATAGAGCACATGTTTGTATGCTTAACTTTAACCACGGACCTCTTGTCTTGTTCTTCAACAGCTATGAGTTGCCCGCCCAACAGTCATTATGAGGCCTGTGCCTCTCCGTGTCCAGCAACGTGTCCATACCCAAATCAGCAGCCAAAGTGCAGTGATACCTGTGTGGAAGCCTGTGAGTGTGACAGTGGATTTGTCCTCAGCGCTGGCGCTTGTGTGCCCACCAATCAATGTGGCTGCTTCTACGAAGGTGCCTACTACCAACAAGGCCAAACTTTCTGGGCCGATGAGCAGTGTCATCGGCTTTGTGTGTGTGATCGTAACTTAAGTGCTGTGGTGTGTCGCAATTCTTCCTGTGCTGTCCGTGAGAGCTGCACAATTGTTAATGGAAGTCACAGCTGCCAGCCAGTGAGTCGCCCCGCCGTATGCACAGGCTCAGTAGACCCACATTACCGCACATTCGACGGATTCCATTTTGACTTCCAGGGCACGTGTGTGTATCAGTTAGCAGCCCTGTGCATTGACAATACGAGTCTTGTACCTTTTAATGTGACAATTAAGAATGATCATCGTTGGAGCAATGCAGTGAGCTTCACTCACACTGTCAATGTAACTGTGAATGGATTCACCATCACATTGACCAGAGAACATCCGTATCGATTACTGGTGAGTACAGTCACACAATATACACTAATAGGGTTGAAGACCATTCTTGTTCAGATTCAGTTCTATTTGAAGAAATACATCTTTATAAAAAACTCAATGATGTTTGGTTTCATTAAGAATTCATACCCTGGTCGGTGCCGTTAGCCTTGTGGGCAGCGCATCAACATGCAGCGCTGTTGCGCTATGGGAATCCCGACTTGAGGACCTTTCCTGCCCCTATCTCTCTCCCACTTCACTTCCTGTCAGTTCTGATCTGTCCGGTCATAATAAAGGCAAAAATGCCAAAAATAAATAATAATTTACACCCTGGCATTCAGAGTATTTTAACAGGGAACCATGATTCTGTTTTTTGTTTTTTTTCCCTGAACCACTGTTAATTATTTCATTTGTTGCACTAATGAATATACATTACAAAACAGTGTAGTTCAAAATCCCCCAAAACCAAATGACCCTGAGTTAGTTCTTTTAGTGAATCAAATCCATAATCAACGAACTGTGTAGTCCTATTCCCAAAGAAACAACTGAGTTGGTTCTTTTTAGTGAATCAAATTGTTACAGAATAACCAGTGTAGTCTGATTCCCAAACCAATTACTTTGAGGTGGTCCTTTTAGTAAATCCAATCCAAACGGAAAAACCAGTGTAGTCTGATTCCCAAAGAAATTACTTTGAGTTTGTCCTTTTTAGTACATGAAATCTACACAGAATGACCTATGTAGTCAAATTCCCAAACAAATGACTCTGAGTCAGTTCTTTTAGTGAATCAAATCCATACTGAACGACCAGTGTAGTCCGATTCCCAAAGAAACAACTGAGTTGGTTCTTTTTAGTGAATCAGATCTACACAGAATGACCTATATAGTGAAATTATCAAACAAATGACTCTGATCCGTTCCTTTTTAATTAATCAAATCCATACAGAACAACCAGTATAGTTCGCTTTCCAGACAAATGTTTCTGATCTGATTCTTTTTACTGAATCAGATTCATACAACGTAAACAAAATGGTTTGATTCCTGAAACAGAGGCTTCCATGAGTCTATTATTTTTAGCGAATCAACATCATTGGTTGTGTGACCAATGTAGACCATATAATTCCCTAATGTATGACTCTTCTGAGTCTTTTTTAGTACAACTTTGCATTTAAGTTGCATTTAACAAAAATTATTTTAAGACTATTATTTAAAGATACAATTTATGGGTTTTGTCAGTAGTATTTTATACAAATTATGAAATATTTTACCACATTTTTGTGTGTTGAGCATTTTGCTAAAATATTAAAGGCCAGTTATTGGATTGCATCAAGGTGGAAAGTCATTAAAGCATCTGTGTAAATAAAATTAAAGCAATTAAATGGCCTTTTTCCCCTAAATATTAAATTAATGGGGAAAAAAATAATAATAATGGATTAATGGAACTTTTAAAGTATCGGAGTCTGAATTAGAATTGGAACCGAAATTGTTCAATTCCTTGTGATTCCCAGGTCTACACACGATTTAAACAGTTTCAACTAAATCAGCACTTTGTAATAGTAACCAAATGTGTTACTATTCATTTCTCTTTAGTTTGGTGGCCAACTAGCAGAACTTCCCTTTTGGATTCAAGATGTATTTATAGTTTTACGCAGCGGCAACTTTGCTTTGGTGAAGACAAACTTTGGTCTCCAGGTGACCTTTGACTGGTCCAATGTGGTGAGCGTCACTTTGCCTAGCAATTACAGTGGTGCGGTATGCGGACTTTGTGGAAACTTCAACGGTGTTGTTCAGGATGACTTTACAATGCACAATGGTATGATGGCACCCAATGCCAGTAGTCTGGGACAGAGCTGGCAGGTTGCTGCAGCACCTGGCTGTTCCTCAGTCGGTTGCCTTGGTGCTGGATGCTCAACTTGCAATGCGACCCAGAGAGAGAACGCCCAGCGCAATTGTGAGATCATCACAAACCGGACAGGGCCTTTCAGAGAATGTCATAAGCAGATCGATCCTGGATCTTACCTAGAGGATTGCATATTCGACACGTGCCACTTCCAAGGACATCAGGTTGTGTTGTGCGACGCAGTGGCAGCCTACGCATCCACATGTCAGAGTCAAAATATCACGGTTCGCCCTTGGAGAAATGCCACTTTCTGCCGTAAGTAACTAACTGATTTTTTTTTTAAGATTATGAAACTTAATATGTGAGCTTGATAAAAGTAAATGAAAAATTAAACTGTTTCAAAAACTGAGCTCAAATCAGTGTTACTCTTGTAAATTACTGCCAAACATGTTCATTAACCATTTTTTATCTTGTCGACTAACAAAAATGTTATTTCAAGAGCTTAGGCTTTGGGTTTTTGTTTTTTGTCAAATGTTAAATTAATGTCGGTGCCGAGAGCCATGTGGGCAGCTCGCCGGCATATAGTGCCATTGCACTTTAGGTGTCCAAAGTTCGAGTCCTGGCTCGTGGTCCTTTCCTGATCCCATCTCCCTCTCTCTTTCCCTCTTTAATTTATATATTATCTTATTAAATACAAAAATAAACCTTGGTTTAATATTGCATTTATTTGTTAACTAAAATGTTATTTACTAAAATTAAATGCTAATTTATTAAATTTAGTCAAGTCAAATTCATTTTATTTTACACTCTCTCCGATCTGTCTATTACAGCTCCATCCTGCCCTCCAAACAGCCACTACAATCCCTGTGCTCCAGGCTGTACAGAGACCTGTGTCAACATCTCTGCGCACAACTGCAGCAGACCCTGTGCTGAGGCCTGCCAGTGTGATCAGGGTTACATCCTGAGCGGCCAAACCTGTGTGCCACAAGCAGAATGTGGCTGCTTCTATCGAGGACACTATTACAACAAACACCAGATGTTTTACGTCCATGAGCAGTGCTTGGAGCGCTGCATGTGTGGAGAAAATGGAACAGTTTCCTGCCAGGCATCAAGTTGTAGTCCAGGGGAAGCTTGCAGAGTGGTAGATGGAGTTTTAGGATGCCACCCTGTCAGTCATGGAAGATGTGTGGCCACTGGTGACCCTCACTACACTTCTTTTGATGGCAGGAGGTTTGACTTTCAAGGTGCATGTGTTTATACGCTCGCTAAGGTATGTGATCGAGCTGGAGGACGGTTGGTGAATTTTTCTGTGGACACACAGAATGAGCAGGTTAGAAACACAAGGGTTTCTGTCATCAAGAATTTGACTGTGACCGTCTACAACCTGACAATTAGCATCAGACGAGGTGAACGCTCGAGAGTCATCGTAAGTCTTCATCTAGTTTCGCCTTTTTTTTTTTTTTTTTAAAGAAATTAATGTTTTTATTTAGCAAGAATGCATTGAAATTGAAAAAAAATTGACAGTAAAGTATAATGTTGTTATGAAAGGTTTCCATTTCAGATAAATGCTATTCCTGAAAAAAAAATTTATTACAGTTTACACAAAAATATTAAACTGTTTAAACTGTTTTCAACATTGATAATATAAGAAATGTTTCTTATATAGCGTAGAAAAAATGTCTCGGTTATGTATGGTAACCCTCGTTCCCTGATGGAGGGAATGGAGACGTTGTGTCGAGTGTACGACACTAGGGGTCGCTCTTGGGAGCCCAAACACCTCTGACATCTTTGAGAAAAGGCCAATGAAATTGGGTGTGCAGAATTTGCATAGCTGGCCACGCCCCGGACATCCGGGTATAAATAGGCCACCGTGGCATCAGCTCACTTGTTCTGAGGAGTCGAGAAGCATCTCAACCCACTCAGAGGCAATTCGGAGTTGTGGCATGAAGGACACAACGTCTCCGTTCTCTCCATCAGGGGACGAGGGTTACCATACGTAACCGAGACGTTCCCTTTCTGTCATTCACTCCGACGTTGTGTTGAGTGTACGACACTAGGGGTCCCTATACTAAACGCCACAACTGCCGAACTGCGTCACACGTCCACGGGGACACAGATGTTGACAAGCCAACGTGTCACAACCATATGCACCTCTCCTCCTCGTAACCTACCAACGCCCAAGACTTAAGACCTCACCCTACAACATCCGGGAGAGTCGCCATAGAGGCAGAGCTCCCCTCAGCCGGAGCCTTTTCCCATAGTAATACTCACCATAATATAACAGCTGAAAAGTCTCGGTAGTAACGTTGGGACAGTGACTATTCCCCCTAGGGAAAAAGGCACTACGGAGGTAACGTTGGGACAGTGACCATTCCCCCTAGGGAAAAAGGCACTAAGGAGATCACATCCTACCCGATGGGGAGGTAACATGTGAAGATCCACCTATGGACTTCAGAGGATGTACCACATAGGGAAGGTACAGAGGTGGGCTCAGTGTAAGGGGAGATCTACCAAGACCCAGAACCTATCGAAAGAATGTCTGTCTAGGGGAACACTGAGCCTCAGGGGCAATACAGTGGAGAATACACACATGGGGCCTCAAGAGGAGCCACTACATGTGGAGCACTAACCCAATACAAGAGTTCACTCGAGGGAACCTACCTCGTAATGAGTCCTAATAGCAAGTTCCTCCATCGAACTTCGCTAAGAAAAAGTGTTTATGTGATGAAAGGGTAGTCCAGAGTTCATGAAAGGAACCTGAGCTGGACTGAATAAGCGCATAATTACCCTGGGGGGAGTAGTGCTGGTAGCGAGCTCTACACCCTGCCAGTCTCCTGTGTGAAAGAACTGACGATCAGAACTCTAGAAGAAGCTGGTTTCATTCGTAGATTATAAAATCTAGCAAATGTATTAGGTGTAGCCCAACCTGCAGCTCTACAGATATCTGCTAGAGAGGCCGCGTTCGCCAGAGCTGCTGATGCAGCCATGCCCCTGGTAGAGTGAGCCCTCACTTCCAGTGGGCAAGGTAGGCCTCTGGCCTGATAGGCCATTAGGATCGCATCCACAATCCAGTGGGAGATCCTTTGTCTGGAGATAGCATTCCCCTTCTGCTGCCCTCCAAAGCAGATAAAGAGCTATTCAGAAGGCAGTCCTTCCTCAGGGGAATTTGCCAGGGAGGAACTGATGCCATGAGCATGAGCTCCGAGAACCAAGTCCTGTTGGGCCAATAAGGGGCCACAGGCAGGAGCTGTTCACCGTCTTCTCTGACTTTGCACAGTGTCTGTGCAATGAGGCTCACTGGGGCAAATGCATACTTGAGTAGGCCCCTGGGCCAGCTGTGAGCCAGTGCATCCTTGCCGAGGGGAGCCTCGGTCAGGGAGTACCACAACTGACAATGGGTCGATTCCGACGAAGCAAACAGGTCCACCTGTGCCTGGTCGAACCGACTCCAAATCAGCTGAACCATTTGGGGGTGAAGCTTCCCCTGAGCAAGACCTGTCACGAGAGGAGATCCACTACACGATTGAGGTTGCCCGGGATATGAGTGGTATGCAGAGACCTGAGTCTGTGCTGGCTCCAAAGTAAGAGATGGCGGGCGAGTTGTGACATGCGATGGGAGCGAACACCACCCTGGTGGTTGATGCATGCAACCATCGCTGTGTTGTCCGTCCGGACCAGCACGTGCTTGCCTTGGATCAAGTGTCGAAACCTCCTCAAGGCCAAAAGCACTGTCAACAACTCCAGGCAATTGATATGCCAATGCAGCCAAGGGCAGACCCTGATGCTGCATGCCCGTTGCACGCGGTGCCCCAGCCTGTCTTGGAAGCATCTGTTGTAACAACAATGTGTCTGGACACCTGTTCTAAGGGCACTCCTGCCCGTAGAAAAGAGATGTCCTCCCAAGGGCTGAAGGTACGGCCACACAACGGTGTGATGTTCACACGGTGTGAACCGTGACGCCATGCCCATCTCGGCACTCGGGTACAAAGCCAGTGCTGAAGTGGTCTCATATGCATCAGTCCCAGCAGCGTGACCGCGGCTGAGGAAGCCATATGCCCCAGGAGCCTCTGAAAGTTTTTGAGAGGGACCGCTGTTCTCTGCTTGAGAGCCCTCAAGCATTTCAGCACTGACTGAGCACGATCCTGAGAGAGACGTGCAGTCATCGTAACCGAGTCCAATTCTACACCGAGAAAAAAGATACTCTGCACAGGGGAGAGTTTGCTCTTTTCCCAGTTGACCCGAAATCTCAATCGGGCTAGGTGGTCAAGGAACATGTACCTGTGTGCGCAAACCAATTCTCGCGAGTGAGCTGGGATTAGCCAGTCATCAAGGTAATTGAGAACTAAAATGCCCACTTCCCTGAGAGGGGCAAGGGCAGCCTCCGCGATCTTCGTAAAGACGTGAGGAGACAGGGACAGTCCGAAGGGAAGAACTTTGTACTGATATTCCCATCCTTCGAAGGCAAACCGAAGAAACGGCCTGTGCCTTGGTAGGATTGAGACGTGAAAGTACGCATCCTTCAGGTCTATTGCCACAAACCAATCCTGATCTCTGACACATGTTAATATGTGCTTGAGGGTTAACGGAAGCTTGTGAAGGGCCCGGTTCAGAGTCCTCAAATCCAGGATTGGTCTGAGCCCCCCACTCTTCTTGGGTACAATGAAGTACGGGCTGTAAAACAAATAGCCAGTATGTATTAATTGAAAAATAGAGAAATAAAAATAAAGTATAAAGATGGTTCTCTATGTAATGCTGGTTTGCACTTTTTTAAATTGTAATGAAAGAAAAAATTATTCTGAAATCATATTTGCTGTTGGTTCTTTAACAGGTGAATAATGAATTTGTCACCCTCCCTTCATCTTTTGGCACTCAAGTCACCATTAACCAGGTTGGATACAGTGTCAAAGTGCAAACCAACTTTGACTTGAGAGTTCTGTATGACACCTATTACCACGTGGAAGTCCATGTACCCTCCAACTATCAAGGCCGCATGTGTGGCCTCTGTGGAAACTACAATGGCAAGAAAACAGATGACTTCTTGTTGCCCAATGGCACACAAAGCGCCAATGTCAGTGCATTCGGACAGGCATGGGCATTGCCAGCAACTGGTGTTCAGTGTGGAGATGAAAGTTCCCCGCAGCAGTGCGATCAAACCAAAGCCGAGAGATACCGCAGAGGTGATGCCTGTGGCATTATGGCAGCTGCCGCTGGTCCCTTCAATGCTTGTCATGATCAGGTGAATCCTGAGCAACATGTGGTTAACTGTGTATTTGACATGTGTGTTATGGATGGAGACAGAGCGATGCTGTGTGAAAATCTTCAGGCTTATGCCATCATCTGCCAGAAAGCCGGGATACAAATCATGCCATGGAGAAATAGTTCATTCTGCCGTAAGTTTGTAAATCTTAACCTGTTCTTCGCTTTATCATTGCCTTTAAGTTATGTATCATAATCATTTTGTTTCATATATATACACTGGCGCACAAAAGTTTGGAATAAATTTTAGGGTTTTAAATGATTTTTAAAAATCCAGTAGACAGTAATATTGTGAAATGGTATTACAATTTAAAATAACTTTCCTATTTGAATATATTTTGAAATGTAATTTATTCCTATGATGCAATGCTGAATTTTCAGCAGCCATTACTCCAGTGTCACATCATCATTCAGAAATCATTTTAAAATGCTGATTTGATGCGCAAGAAAAATATATTATCAATGTTTAAATCAGTTTTTGCTGTTTAATATTTTTGTGGAAACTATATATTTTTACAATTGTTTGATTTAATAGAAAGTGCATTAAACAGCATTCATTTGAAATATATTTTTTATAAACATTATAAATGTCTTAACTTTAACTTTTGATCATTTTAATACATATTTGCTGAATAATTTTTAAATTATTCATAAAATTTAATAAATATAAAATAAAGAATTAAATAAAGAAATGAATATAAATATAAAATATTTAATAAATAATTTAATAAATATAAGAATAAAATTTAAAATAGAAAAATAGAAAAGTTATTCTAAATTGGGATAATATTTCACAATATTACTTTTTTACTGTATTTTTAATCAAATAAATTCAGATTTGGTGAGCATGAGACTATCCATAACACAAAAAAGACCCCAAACTTTTGAATGGTAGTATATATATAGTGTGTATTTTTTCCTAATATTTTTTAATGTAAATTACCTGATACACATTATTTTATGTTTTGTTTTTTGCATTTTCTTTTTTTTTAAGCGGCAAACTGTCCAGCCAACAGTCATTATGCACAGTGCTCTAATAACTGTGCCAACACCTGTGCCAGCCTTAGTGGCTCCGTTAACAACTGCCCAGATATTTGCATGGAAGGCTGTCAGTGTGATGAAGGGTGGCTCTCAGATGGTGACACGTGTGTGCCTGTGGGAGACTGTGGATGTGTCCATAATGGCAAATACTTAAAGGTGAGATTTAATGCTTCTCATACATTAAGTATTAGGAGCTTCTCATCTACTTTTCAGAGCTGCTTTTCCTCAGATTTTTCTAAAATTATGATTAGAGCCATTAGAATCTTCTACAGTTTGCATTGCAAGAGTGCAATCTTTTCTCCACTCTTTCCACTTAGGTCGGCGAAGTCTTAGTAACTGACACTTGCGACAGGAAGTGTGTGTGTCGTACCACTGGGCTGCTGGAGTGTGTGAACCAAACCTGTTCCAGAGGAGAGATCTGTGAATTTCGGGATGGCCAACGAGATTGTTACACTGATCAAGGCCACTGTGTATTTGATGCCAATGACCAGTTGCGGTCCTTTGATGGTGTAAAGGGGGCAGTGGAGCGGCCGGGAGCCTATCAAATGGCTTTCTTGTGCAATCAAGAGTCTCCTGACTGGTTCCGTGTGGTGTTAGATGTACGTGCATGTGCCAGGAATGATTCTGGTCATGTGACAATGGTCCACATCTTCTTTCAGGACATGATCATTACGGTCAACAATCACAGGCACAGCTGGGTCAGTGGAAAAAAATGTTTGATACTATAGTGTTTTTTCTATACATCAGCTAGAGTCTTAAAATGTTTGATTTGACACAAAGAAACTGTTGAGAACACATTTCTCTCATTCTCTCAACAGGTGAATGGAAAGAAGGTCTCGTATCCCTTTATGCCTAAAGAGGGGGTGTTAGTCTCATACATAAATGAGGCCGTGGTCATTGAGAAGGTATCTATCATGAGACTGACTTACTCTGGCACTGGAGAGGTTGTGTTATCCGTAAGCACAGTCCTGACAGACCAAGTTTGTGGTGGCTGTGGCAACTTTAATGGTATCACTGCAGATGATATGACAACTTCTGATGGGAGAAACTCCACTATGATGTCTGTAGTTGCATCATCCTGGCAGGCTGAAGACTTCTTTACATGGTAAAGCCATATAATTGTGCTGCCTTCATCATATGGCAAAACAAATGCTTCATTTTCTGTCAAATACTGGCTAACCTTTTACTTCTCATGTGCTTTTTTTTTACAGTGTGTAACAACTGAAAAAAAAACTGGCAGGAAGGTTTGATTACCACAGAGATTTCTAATAGAGGAATTGTAAATTTTATTTAATTGCACACTGGGGTTTAGAATGAGGCTTTGATGTAAACTGAATGATTTCTACATATTCTGTATGCCATAGTATGATCTTAATACTGCACCTTTTGAGATTTGAGATGATTTGAGATTATGCACATTAAAGATACACTTCTGAGGTTTACGTCCAAAACTGTCTAGTACTTTTTCTATTATTCTATATTTTTTCTCTTGACTAATTAGACATGTACACAAAGCCTCAGTAGATGACGGCAACCATCAGATTTCAGCATATCTACTTAAACTTTCTCATGTAATATCTATGACATGACCCATTTCAGAGGTGGCCAAAATTAGAATTTAGAATTTACTGAGTAAAGCTCACTACAATATGAACTTTGACAACACGGTGTGTAATTGATTAAAAAAAAATGCAGTGGGGGTCTGTGTGCATGGGTCCCACAGGCTTAGACGGGCCCACATGGAAGTGCTTGGAGGCCTCACGATTATACGGCCTGACGGAGATGAGTATCTCACTTCAGCAAACACGCACAAACTGACGAAAATTAAACTCACCATTTTCCATCGCATCTTCAATCTACGGCATCTTCGCCTGTTCAGCACACGGTCATCGTGGCTGAGTGTCGGCTCACTCGGCTGTGTTCTGGCAGCGGCTCACCGAAAGTGAGCCAGCTCTGGCCCAGTAATGGTTGCCAGATTTGGCTAGGCTTTGGATGTGCGGATCTGGCCCGATTTGCACTGAGACACGGCACATTTAGCCACATTCGGCCCGATTACGGACCATAAGGGCTGGTCTGATTTTGGCTGAGATATGGGCATGCAGACCCGGACTAGTTTAGGTTGAGTGCTGGGGGTGGGTCTCCGTTTA